CTCCTGTGTTGATTACTAATTACGTTCACCTGTGCTCCTTCGTACTCGGCGCCCTAGTTTCTGACCCGGTTGGTCGGTTTGGTTTCTGCTGGTAAACAGTACACTGCTGTTGCGCCTGTGCTGCACCCGCATTTTGGGTTTTCTAAGACGATGGGGCTGATGAGCTGCAGCGGTTTGTTAAGACACTGGAAGGTTGTTGATCAGGTCTGAGAGGAAGACACACACACACACACTCAGAGAGAGGGAGGAGTTGAGACACACAATCAATCACTCACTCACTCACACACTCTCACAGAGAGAGAGAGAGAGAGAGAGAGAGAGAGAGAGACATACATGCATAGTATAAAAGTGGGCGTGCTGAGACCTGGCTGTGCATGTGTTTGAGGAGAGGTGGGGTCAGGGTGGGGCGGGGGAGGAGGTCAGGTAACTTTAAAAACAGGCTGGAGAGGAAGCGAAGCTGCAGAGAGACGCATAGCTGACACACCGTCTGACTGGCGGCTGCGTGTGTGTGTGTGTGTGTGTGTGTGTGTGCCTGAGTGAGGGTGTTTGAGTGAGTGTAAGGGTGTGTGTCTGCATGTGCGTTTGTGAGTATGTGTCTGCGTGTGTCTGAGCGCGTGCGTGTGTGACTTCAGGGTGGGTGCATGTGTGAGTGTGTGCATCTTCATCAAGGCGTGCGTTGAGCGTATCCCAGCGATGCCGTGTGCGGCCAAGACGCCGACTTCCTGTGGTCACGCGACTACTTCCTGTGTGCCCGCAGCGTCCCTGAGCCAGCACCTCCGGGGGATGTTCCGGCGCAGGAAGAAGAAGCGAGCGGTGGAGATCTCGGCGCCGCGGGACTTTGAGCACCGCGTCCACACGTCCTACGATGTGTCCCGGGGGTGCTATGTGGGCCTGCCCCCCCAGTGGCAGAGCATCATCGAGACCCTGCGGAGACCCCTGCCCCTGGTGGACCCCTCCACCATCACCCAGGTGCAGCTGGGGCCCAAGAAGGTGAGGACACCTCGCGCGGCGGCCCAGCGGTTACCTGTCGCTACCGGTGGTTTACCTGTCTGCTGTCGACCTGCTGTGACCTGTGTACCTGTTGTTACCTGTCTACCTACTGTTACCTGTCTACCTACTGTTACCTGTGTACCTGTTGTTACCTGTCTACCTCTTGTTACCTGTGTACCTGTTGTTACCTGTGTATCTGTTGTTACCTGTCTACCTACTGTTACCTGTGTACCTGTTGTTACCTGTCTACCTCTTGTTACCTGTGTACCTGTTGTTACCTGTCTACCTACTGTTACCTGTGTACCTGTTGTTACCTGTCTACCTACTATTACCTGTGTATATGTTGTTACCTGTCTACCTACTGTTACCTGTGTACCTGTTGTTACCTGTGTATCTGTTGTTACCTGTCTACCTACTGTTACCTGTGTACCTGTTGTTACCTGTCTACCTACTGTTACCTGTGTACCTGTTGTTACCTGTGTATCTGTTGTTACCTGTCTACCTACTGTTACCTGTGTACCTGTTGTTACCTGTCTACCTCTTGTTACCTGTGTATCTGTTGTTACCTGTCTGCCTATTGTTACCTGTGTATCTGTTGTTACCTGTCTACCTCTTGTTACCTGTGTATCTGTTGTTACCTGTCTACCTCTTGTTACCTGTGTATCTGTTGTTACCTGTCTACCTCTTGTTACCTGTGTATCTGTTGTTACCTGTCTACCTCTTGTTACCTGTGTATCTGTTGTTACCTGTCTGCCTATTGTTACCTGTGTATCTGTTGTTACCTGTCTACCTACTGTTACCTGTGTACCTGCTGTTACCTGTCTACTGGTTGCTACCTACCTGTTGTTACCTGTCTACCTGCTGTTGCCTGTCTACCTGTTTCCACCTGTGAATCTCATGTTACAGGTGTACCTTACCTGTCAGGGACATCTGATCAGGTGTTTACATGCTGAATTCTCCATATGTGACAAATGGAAACATTTCTTAGTTGCTGACGCAGATTCTTACAGTCCCAGGAACTCATGGGAAACAGGCTATGACTTTCTTTGCTGAAGGATAGTCACCTGGGAGACAGAGGATTGGCTATAAATAAAACATTATGTCGCATCATGATTTTATTCAGTGAACATGTGACAACATGTTTTTCTTCTTCATAAGAAAAACATGAGATGCAATAAGCAATGCAGTCTATCTTAGACTTACTTGAACTTTCTAAAGTAACAACCCTCACCAGATTCCTATTTCAAAAGTGACTGTAAGTGTCAGGTCATCTGGGATCATGTACTTCCTGGTTCTCTAAACTGTAGTTTCTTCTTCAACATCTAGACTATAGTGCGGGGGAGCTTCATCGGACACGGAGACTACATTTCCCATGTGATCGCCGAGATGACGCGGCTGTCCGTAACCAGCTCCAACTCCCTGCGCCGGACCAGCCTGTTGGCACGGAAACGGGCCCAGTCGATGGGCCGGCTGGGCGATCTCGCGGAGGGGGACTCCTACCAGTACCTGGAGCTCCACCAGGGGCCCCACGAGGCTAGCCCCACCTACTGGCAGGACCGGATACGGCAGGTATGCAGCGAGAGCGGCAGCCCCAAGCTGGTGGGCAAGAGGAGCAGCACTCTGCCTGCCAACGGCATGCTTCCCCGGGCCAAGTCCTCCTACGAGATCGATTTCTCTTCAGTGCCGACCCCCAGCAGACCACCACCACTGGCAGCCCCCGAAGCCCATAGGACAGGCAGCCTTATGGGCCACTACACCCGCAGTGAGAGGGCTGGACCCACCCCAAGGCCAGGACTCAGCCACCGGAGCCAGAGGCCTGCGTCCTGCCACGGCCTGCAGACGCCAGAGAATGGCTCCAGGGTCAACAAGAGGGTGAAGCCAGCGGGGAACCATCTCCCAGACCTGCTGTCCACCTCCAAGGACAGCTCCCGCAGACCGCACTCTTCCTACGATTTACAAGTAAGACCTCGCCTGTCCTGTCTACATGTAAGACTTTCTCCTCCCCTGTACCGTCTAAATTCAAGACTGTCTTCTCCCCTGTCCTGTCTGAATGTAAACTGTGCGTATCCCTTGTTTTCTAACCTGTTAAAACATAACATATAGTCTCAGAAAAATACAAAATGTTGATAATGCTGATAACTAAAACTGCAGAACATGTTAAACACTGTTTCTATTGACCAGTTTTGTTGATCAAGGCCTTTCTGGTATTCATAACCACATTTTTGGCTGATGATGACGATGTAATGCAATAGCTAGGCTAGCAACTCTGATCTAACTCACCACAAAATGCCCTGCATAATGGCCTCTGTCACACAAGATGCTGGAATGCAAAGTTTGTTGCCAGACCTCTTGTTTCCCACCAAATATATTTAAACTATTTCCTGGTGAAATGACATTAATTGACCAGAACAATTTGCTAACAGGAAGTTTTTTTTTCTTCCCGTCTAGTTGGGCTCAGCGAGCCCGTCTCCAATTCCTCCGCCCAATGGCACCAGCAGCCCGATCTCCGGCCGCGTCCCGGCCCGCCGCCCGCTAACCCCGCCCCCCAGCTACACCACCAGGTCTACCCCAGGAGGCCCCGCGCCCCGACCAATCCCCGCCCCCCAAGCGAGCCCCGCCGCCCAAGCGAGCCCCGCCCCCTCCTCTCCGCCCCAGCCCAAACCCGGCTCCTCCTCCACCAAGGTGACCCACCAGCAGTTCAAAGCGGCGCTGCAGATGGTGGTGAGCCCGGGGGACCCCCGCACCTCGCTGGAGAACTTTGTGAAGATTGGCGAGGGTTCGACGGGGGTGGTCTGCATCGCCCGGGAGCGCCACAGCGGACGGCAGGTGGCCGTGAAGATGATGGACCTGAGGAAACAGCAGCGCAGAGAACTGCTCTTCAATGAGGTTGTTATCATCACTATAAACTACATTATGATTACTACGATAAACTACATGTATATATATATTCATGTACTATGTACATGAATATGTAGTACTAGTAGTAGTGCAGTAATACTCTAGTAGTACTAACAGTACTGCGCTGGTTCCCCAGGTGGTGATCATGAGGGACTACCGGCACCAGAATGTGGTCCAGATGTTTCGATCGGCTCTGGTGGAGGAGGAGCTCTGGGTCATCATGGAATACCTGCAGGGCGGCGCCCTCACCAACATCGTTAATGAGACCAGGTGAGAACACCTCGTTAATGGGACCAGGTGAGAACACCTCGTTAATGAGACCAGGTGAGAACACCTCGTTAATGGGACCAGGTGAGAACACCTCGTTAATGAGACCAGGTGAGAACACCTCGTTAATGAGACCAGGTGAGAACACCTCGTTAATGAGACCAGGTGAGAACACCTCGTTAATGGGACCAGGTGAGAACACCTCGTTAATGGGACCAGGTGAGAACACCTCGTTAATGAGACCACGTGAGAACACGTCGTTAATGAGACCAGGTGAGAACACCTCGTTAATGGGACCAGGTGAGAACACCTCGTTAATGGGACCAGGTGAGAACACCTCGTTAATGAGACCAGGTGAGAACACCTCGTTAATGGGACCAGGTGAGAACACCTTGTTAATGAGACCAGGTGAGAACAACATGTAAATGGCGCAGCACTTAAGCAGGGGCACATTCAGGTTGGTTGACTGTTGACTGTTGATGAGCTTGGCCAATCACACTTTCACACCTTCCTACTTGCTTTGTGGGTGTATGTCTAATGAATTAATGGTTGAGTGCATCAATGGCTGAATTCCAACACTTTTACCAACAGCGATTTTTCTATTACTCATTTTGTGATGCTAACCCATGTGTTGTGTCTAACCAGGCTGAACGAGGAGCAGATAGCCACGGTGTGCGAGGCCGTCTTGCAGGCGTTATCTTATCTCCACGCTCAAGGAGTCATCCACCGCGACATCAAGAGCGACTCCATCCTCCTAGCTCTGGACGGCAGGGTAAGACCACTCACCGCACACGTACCTACCCACACATATATATAAATAGACTGAGACACTTACACACGAGGGGGCAGGATAGTCTAGTGGGTTAAGGGTGTTTGATTCTGAGCCAAAAGCTACTGGGTTCGATCCCCAGTGTCCGCAGTCTACCTCTAGGCATCCTTGAGCAAGGTGACCCCTGACCCCTACCTGCGCCTTCATGACTAATGTATCTGAATTCACTCCAAGTCTCTGAGGATTGAAAACGGTAAAACAGGTCATGGTATTTAGTGGAACTCACTTCTCTTCCTGCAGGTGAAGCTGTCAGACTTTGGCTTCTGCGCTCAGATCAGCGAAGACATCCCCAGGAGGAAGTCTCTTGTTGGGACGCCATATTGGATGGCCCCAGAGGTGGTCTCCAAGACCCCCTACGGCACAGAGGTAGCCATCTTAAACCCTGCTGCTAAAGGTTCTGGTCCAACGTGTCCCTGATTCCTAATGCTACTATGCACTCTCTCCAGCTCTTTTAAACTAGATTGTGCAACACTTTTATTTTTTTTGTAGCTACTCTATGTGTGTGTGTGTGTGTGTGTTGCAGGTGGATGTGTTAACTAGGTGTGTGTGTGTTGCAGGTGGATGTGTTAACTAGGTGTGTGTGTGTTGCAGGTGGATGTGTTAACTAGGTGTGTGTGTGTTGCAGGTGGATGTGTTAACTGTGTGTGTGTTGCAGGTGGATGTGTTAACTAGGTGTGTGTGTGTGTTGCAGGTGGATTTGTGGTCTCTAGGCATCATGGTGGTGGAGATGGTGGATGGTGAACCTCCGTACTTCAGCGACACGCCAGTGGCGGCCATGAAGAAACTCAGAGATGACCCCGCCCCCAGCGTCAGGAACCCCCACAAGGTACACACACACACACACACACACACACACACACACACACACACACACACACACACACACACACACACACACACACACCATACTCACGGTGGTGTTATCTCCTCAGATCTCTCCAGCTCTGATGGACTTCCTGGGCTGCATGCTGACCCGGGAAACCACCCAGAGGGCCAGCGCCGCCCAGCTCCTCCACCACCCCTTCCTCCTCCAGGCCAGCTCCCCGCGCTGCCTCGTTCCCCTGGTGGAGCAGTACCGCAAGCGCATGTCCCTCTGCTCAGCCAACCGGCTAGGCTAGCAGAACAACAGAGGAGCGGCTACATGATGAAGGAGAAGGAGACACGCTCAGCGTTGATAATACACTGGATGAAAACCACCCCAGCATAATCCCGCTCCTCAAACCCGAGTTATGGATCCGAAACAGGAAATCTCACTTTGTCTTGCTCACTGCTGATCGGTGAGTAGAATCAGAACAACGAGCCACCGACCCCACGGACTGACATCACGTCACCTGGGAGCAGAAAACCAAAACGTCTCCAGAGTCGGTTGACTGGGACAACTGGCTCTGCTGAGTTGGAACAGTATCTGTTGAGTGGCCCGACCGAAACCTGTAGGAAAACACTAAAGCTGTGGTTCCAAACCATGGGGACCTGCCTCATCCTCTCTTGGGGACCTGCCTCATCCTCTCTTGGGGACCTGCCTCATCCTCTCTTGGGGACCTGCCACATCCTCTCTTGGGGACCTGCCACATCCTCTTTTGAGGACCTGCCAGATCCTCTCTTGAGGACCTGCCTCATCCTCTCTTGGGGACCTGCCACATCCTCTCTGCTACAATCCACAAAGTTCTTCACTTGTAAATTCATTAACATTTCTCGTTCCCTCCAGTGTGAAGCAACTTTACGATCACTCAAATCAATCCCAGCAGCCCCTACAATGTGAAGAACGTTCCTTCAAACTTAAACTCACGTCCATCAGATGTGACTGTAGTCTTGTGACATGGTCGATAAAGATCGCTTTATTGATTGCTACCCTCGGCCGAGAAACGTTAGCTCTGGTGCTAGCAAGATATTTCCCTTTCTTTCAATTCTCACTACAGCATTTAGAACGGGTTTTAAATCTCATTTAGTAAAACGCTTACTTTAAAAATGCCAAAATAATTCACTTTTCAGTGTTGTTTTTACATTCCAAATATACATTTTATTTGTATTTATTTTCAGTGTTTTTTGTCTGTAATTGTTTGGACAAAGTATCTGGTATTCACATCGTTATACTGGGTCTGCTGTAAAAATAATGGATAACAATTTTAATTTAATAAGGTGTTCAAGTGTGCAAGATGTATGGATGATGACACACAGTCATACAATAATTTGGGCTGGCTACCTTATTGCAGCTAGAAGCCAGCTACTGAATGGGTAGTTTGGCTGGTAGTAAATTATTTATGTATATAAATATATATAAACAATCTAGGCGGTCAGGCCAAGTCAGTAAAATAATAAATCGACTCCCTGGTCAAAGATTATGAACCTATGTGATATGGTTTGGTCGTAATTACTGACTGATTTTCAAGGGGATTTAACATGGGGAACAACCGGCATGGAGCCTTCCTGCCGACATCTATAGCAACCACGTCTTTATATCCTATGTTCAACTTCAACACTTTATGAGAGAAGTGAATGACTTCCTGACTAAGTATATATTTTTATTGAAAGATGAGTGAGACTGTGATTTGGTATACATAGTTTGACATAGTTTGTAAGATTTATATGTAAATACATTCAAAATAAAGCCCTCTCATGTGTCTCATCTGCCTGTCAAGCAGTTCCCCGTCTCTGCTCGTGGTTTGGTATTATTTATAGTCTGCTGTCCCGCATATCAAGTTCGGAATGGACTTTTGCACAGATACGAGATATGTCTTCTTTAGCAACCGTCTTCAAGCCGATGGGCGATGTCATCCACCAGCCTCTTGCATTCCCTGCCTGTCTGAACCTGTAAGAGTCCTCCTGTCACTCTCTCACCGCTACTGAAAGAACAGCCCTGAATCCAACCCCCCCCACAACCCGCCTTCCACCTCACTCTGCCTGGGCTGTAAGGCCTCTGGGCCTCCCTCTGGGTCTTGGTGTCTGTGGGTTGCATTTAGTTACGGTCTCTTGTGTCTTTGAAGTAATAATGTCGAAGATTTACATGTAAATGAATGTCTGTTGAGTCACTATCGCCGAATGAGGCAACGCAATGGTGATCGAGCCTATGGATACCTAATGTTAAGGTATCGTTATTTATATGTTATATATATCATTATATATATATATATATATATATATATATATATATATATATATATATATATATATATATATATATCTTTACATGTGCCATTATCTACATTGTTAAAGGTTACTGGTTCTCCTTGTTCCAGAGAGAACTAAAGTATGAACTAAGTATAACGTGTTGTCCTGTAGATAAGAAGGATGAGTCTGGGGCTGGGACAGGGCTACTTGGTGATAACACACTATCAGCAGGCATTTTAAGAGGCAGGATCGTTGTTCTATTAGTGGAGAGCACTATCCCCACAGTTCCTGTTCTTCCCTAACATGTGACAAACACACCCTGTTGGTGTTGTCTGGGGGGTGGAGGTGTACTCTCAGATGGATGATTTGTTTGAATCACACAGGGTGGTGTTGAAACTGTTCATTAGGACACATGTCACAATCCAGTCAGATTTATTTGTAAAGCCCTTAATCACAGTAACGGTCTCAAAGGGCTTCACAGGCCCCACATTATACAACACCGCCTAACCCTAAGCCCTCTGAAGTACTTTAAGGAGAAACTCCCCAAACAAAGAGGGAAGAAACATTGAGAAGGAACACAGAAGTGGAAAAATGTTTGTGAACTAAATGATTCACTTGATTTAGTTTGGTAGGTGACATTAGGTGACACTGTATTTATTTATTATTTTAACAATACCCTATAACAAAAAAAAGATAATCCATTACTTGGACTATCAAATTCATCACAAACAAAAGTTTGTCTACTAAAAACACATTATTCTGATGTGTTTTGGGGTGGTGGCAGAAGTCAGACCAAAGTCCTATTTCCTAAACTGAAATTGAAAATGTTACATGCTTGAAGCATATAGTACGTCTCTTTGTCCGACACAAGTCTTGTGTTCTCTGTGTTAAATCTAGAGGTGTCCGTGCTTCTTATCGGTCAGGACAGAAGGATGGAGATAAGCGGTGAAACGCTAGTCTCCATAGATGGACTCTAACAGCCAAAGGTCCTGGGTCTGACCTCACGGTGGACAGATTAAACCACCAGAAGCTTCCTAATATGGAGCCCAGGAACCTTTTATAAAGACGCCTGGGAGAGGATGAGCAGAGTAGACATCACTTCAGCCAGTGTCATCCCCAGACGTACCAGGACTCTGTTCTACCACTGCCTCCACCATGGGTGACGCTTTGATGGCCGAGTTTGGAAAGGCTGCTTGTTTCCTCAGGAAGTCCGACAAGGAGCGCCTGGAAGCTCAAACCAGGGCTTTCGATATCAAAACTGAGTGCTTTGTCGTAGACGATAAAGTGGAATATGTCAAGGGCCAGATCCAAAGCAAGGACGGAGAGAAGGTTGTGGTCAAAAAGGAAGACGGCACTACAGTAACTGTTAAGGAGTCTGCTGTCCATCCACAGAACCCGCCGAAGTTTGATAAAATCGAGGATATGGCCATGTTCACTTTCCTCCATGAGCCTGCGGTGCTGTTCAACCTCAAGGAGCGCTATGCCGCCTGGATGATCTACACCTACTCTGGCCTTTTCTGTGTCACCGTCAACCCCTACAAGTGGCTCCCAGTGTACGACTCGGAGGTGGTGGCGGCCTACCGAGGGAAGAAGAGGACCGAAGCTCCTCCTCACATCTTCTCCATCTCAGATAATGCCTACCAGTACATGCTCACTGACCGGGAGAACCAGTCGGTCCTCATCACCGGAGAATCTGGTGCTGGGAAGACCGTCAACACCAAGCGAGTCATCCAGTACTTTGCCAGCATCGCTGCAGTCGGCGGTGCAGTCAAGAAGGATGCCACCAAAGGAACCCTGGAGGACCAAATCATCCAGGCCAACCCTGCCCTGGAGGCCTTCGGTAATGCCAAAACCCTGAGAAATGACAACTCCTCCCGTTTTGGAAAGTTCATCCGGATTCACTTTGGGAACAGCGGCAAGCTGAGCTCTGCGGACATTGAAACCTACCTGCTGGAAAAGTCCAGAGTCACTTTCCAGTTGAAGTC